CTGTTGATCTGGGACACAGAATCCAAGCACTTAAGCCATGAATCCTCAAAGTAAATTTTGATATGGAGCAGGTGAAATCATTAAAAATTGTGTGACAATGAAGTTGTTTCATTGTATTGTGAGTGCTGCATTAAAACATTTTGAGTAACAAAAAACCTCGTGTTTTGACTGAAGTCTCAGAATATTCTCTCCATGAATCTTGCATAATGCAAGATATTCATAAAAGTACCGATCAGTGTAACGATTATTGTTACTTAAATTGACTTTTACATGACTCAGAAACTTTAAACACGAGTTACGATAACTAAGTTGGAAAGGCAATAGGGAACTAACTAAATGAAATTAATAAAATATTAAATGTCACCTTACGGTGGATAAAAATTCAAAAAATTAATTGCATATTCATAAGTTAAATTTTGAATGTATTTTCCATTAGGAACGTCCAAATAACTCCCGTCATAAACTAAACCAAACAATTAGCACACAATGTTCACGAGTAACACAATGATTGATAAAATAGTGATATTCACCCGACAAATAAATCCCATTTACCCGACAAATAAATCACATTAATATTGTTGGAAATGAACATACATATAAAACAGTCAAGAATTTCAACTTGCGTTAAATACATGCGATAGTTTTCTATTGAAATCTTCAATATTTGTGCATCGTGGACATTTATTGTCAGCTAACGGTGGTGTAGCTCGCGCTGTCTAAACTTCGGACGGATGCTAAGTGTAGCTTTCCCGTGCAGCCGGTGCAGTAATGCCGCTGAGGTGGTAATCGGCGGTAAATATATGCCGGATATGTGTTTACGACCACTGGCCGCCGTAAAAAGTTCGAGAGCAGCCCAGTGTGGAGTCTTTGAGTGGTGTCGATGGCATTCAGTGTGAGTGAAAGCTTTGCCAGAGTTTGAGTACTCTGGAACTCACTCGTACTCACGTTCACTTGCACTTGCTCATGCTTCAGGAATGCACTTTACTCCATCTTCTCGTCAGCGAGACTCAACATGACTTGAATTACAGAAAGCAATATTGTTTGAAAAATTTGCCCATTGGTATATTTTCTGAGAAATGTTTAAAAATCAGAATGTCTATGTCTATCAGAATGTCTAAATTTGCGTGGTCAGACGAAAGAACGGCCCTGATGCCCCTCGTCACGTAAAATAAGGCATCAATTGAAATTCAATTCAATTCAGAAAGTAATTTCCAGACCTTCATTTGTTATTTTAACAGCATTAACTTTATTTCTCTTTTGACACGGACACGGACACGGACACGGACAAACAGATAAGTGACCTTTTAATTTAGAAAGTATAGAAAAAGACTGTTGAAACGTTCTTCATATTTTTTATGTATTTAAAGTGTCCGTAGTATCCGTAATAGTTCGACAAATTTACTCAAATAGCATTATCAAGTATATGCAAAACGGGGCGTTCGATTTTAGCAAGTCATTTAAATACTCTGACGATTAAATAACATTACAATACTATTACAAGTATAAAATTCATAAAATGTCTTATTTCTTCTCTAAATATTTCATCGTAACTGAGTTTCTTCTGAGCCAGTTAAAACAAAGATGCTCAAAGTTTAACCTAAACTGCACTTTGCTTCTGAGAAAGCGTTTGGTGAATTGCAGTAGCAGGTTTAACGGACTCTCCTCGGCAGTAAATTCTGATTCGTATCTCCTGCGTTGCGTGACTCTAGAACCTGTATACTCTCGGAGCACAAGGTTAATTTCTCTTTTATTTCTAATCATAAACACAAGCGACCGTTGTCACAAACGTCTATCATTTTAATGAACCGTTCATTTCTTTTCTCGCCTTTTTATCTGAATGACGACGAAAAATTCAATCATCTCATCAATTTATCTGTCCACTTTCTCTACCATCTCTAGCTAGCTGTTACTCAATAATTCCTCTTCGTCGTCTTCACTGCTCTGGTGATGGCCAAGAGTTGACTTTTTACGCCGCCTCCGTTTCAACGTTGGACAAACCTTCCTTTCGACAAACACAGGATTAAGTGTTTTGAAAACTTGCGTCATTTTTCCATATTAAAGAAAGCTTCGGCCAGGTTATGTTGACTTCTAATCTTCCAGATCCGGTTGTTTGAGTCCTGCCAGGTTGCAGAATCCCCGCGCGAGCGCAACGTTGAAAGGCTGCTCTCTGCAAGAAGGCCTCTGAACGAACATGGCACATGTTGGAGATAAGGACAACTGGCAGTGACAGACGCTGAATATCGTTGCAGCGATCTAGTGAAATATGACACACCTGAGCAGAGCCGCACAGCCATATGACTATTGAGTCTTCCTCTTGGCATTGACGTTGTCCGGCATTCACGTCTCCCGCGACTGGTCCGCCCACACGTGCTCCGACCCTGATGCGTTCAACTGCTATTCCCAGCGCGAAATTTGATGATGTAGGCACGCTGGCGAATAAGCGAGGAAATGCATGACGTAACCGCGTATAACTGGACGTCAAAATAAAGATAATTTCAGTTCAATAGGCATCTTGGCACAAAAAAAGTTAATCTTGCGCAATTAGCCGCCTAGTGTGAACAATTAAATGGATAAAAATATTTTTAAATATTATAATTTGAACTAATAGCGACGTATAGTAGATAAGGAAAGTATTAGATTCACGTCTCACTCACTGCTTTGCAAACTTGCAAGATGTTTTCCTACTTTTTTAAACCATAAATATATACTTTCTGACTAATTTGTATGTCTATGTACTCAAAGAAACAAAGAATCACAAATAGTTTAAAATGTCCACATTTTATCTATTCAAATTCTAAATTATCAGAGGAATGTTTTAAACCGTACCATTTAGGCATGGACAATAATACTCGTAAATAAACGTATGAAACGTTTTCCTCATTTGTAGTGATATCCCCTTTCACACATGAGAACCATTAAAATTCCCCACCATATGCAATGGTGACAACATTACATGAAATGATTAAATAACCACTCTTGGTGATTTTCATATCTCTTGCCTTTAAGAAAACAGATTCGCAGAGAGAGAAGAAAAAAGCGGGCCGTGTGCGCAAAGGCCAGTGTATGGAGGGGTCGCCGCTGGTCGGTCGGCGGCCCTGCGCACGCGCGGGTCTCGAACCCTCGCGAAGCGGCGCGTGTCGCACGTGTGGCAACCGCGCTCGCGCGGCGGCGGCGGCGGTGGCGGCGCAGGGCGAGGAGCGGGAGGGCGGTGGCGGGGCGCCCGCGCCACCTGCGACTGCTCAACCGCGGCGCCGCCGCCCCTGCGACCGCAGCGCCCCGGGGCGCGCACGGGGGCGGCGGCCGGGGCACGAAAGACGCGAGGGCGGGCGCGGCGCCGCCCCCGCGCCCAGCCCCCGGCGTCGGCGCCTCCACCGCCGCCGCCGCCGCCACCACCGCCGCGACGCGCCTCGGCCCACATGCGCGCCACTCGCCAAGGCCGCCCTCCCTGACGTCATTGCGGTGAAGTACGGCGCGGGCCCGCGGTGTTGCAACGGCCTTGCGGACGGCGACGACGACGACGGCGCCGCCGCCCGGACGCCACGCCTCGCGCTCTTCTGCTTCCGACCGACGCACCCCCTCCGCCTCATGCTAGCGGCTTTCTTTGGAAACGCGTTGCTCCGCACTGACTGCTGGAGATTAGACGAGCTCGCAAGCTGGACTGTTTCAGGGGTTGGGAGTATGAGAGCTCGATTAGCGTTTCCCATTTCCGGATAAAATTACTTACTAGGTCCTGTAGGTGATGCTGCTGTTTTTACGTTGTAAAATCTGCAAGAATGTTTCTAGTTGGCTCAAAAAGCTGATAACGACAGTCTGAATATTGTATAGGTTTTTGGTATGTACTTTTACTTCATAAAATATATCTTTCAACTACTTAAGTTTTGCGGAATGTAAGTCAGTCTATGATTATTTTCTATGGATCCTTTATTACTTCTATCATCTTGTTAAACCTAATTTTCATACGTACCGTAATAATCAGTTTGAAGATAAGGAGATTAAATGTGGTTCGTTTCGCCACACATCTAAACGAATGGCAACATTATCTGGTTTTAATTTTCGACCATACTCTCTCGTCAAGGTGTCACTATCAATAATATTCTACTTTCCCTCGGATGTACAAATGTAAGTGAATACTTGTGATCTCTGCGCTTTACCGTCTCTTACGAACCGTCCATCGTTTATGCCTCTAGTCACGTCTGCCCCGGCCATGTACGTCTCTCAACCTTCAAGTCACCTTACTTTCATCCCGTTTTCGCTGCAGTGGCGTCACTCAGAGCGATCTGTAGCTAATGAAACTCTCAGTAGGCAATATATCACCATATGAACAATGTTTTCTCACTGAGATATAAACTTTTTCTTAGTATTTTTTGAAATCATGTGTACAATTTTTATACAGAACGTTTGTCAATGTTAGTTCCTGAAGCAATTTGATTTTCAAAACCAGTATTTAAGATTAAAACATTCACCATCACCCGGAAAAGTCGATCAGAAACCCTTATTGCGGGAAGGGAGAGTAAGGGAAAAATAAATAAAATGCTACGATTTGCAACTGCTGTATTCGCCGCTGCCACCTTTTTTTCCCTGACCCCAGCTAAATGTCACAGTCTCTTTCACTCGCGTTGTCTCAATTCTAGAAGTAACCAGGCGGTAAACACATCGATGAAATGGGATTGCCTCGTTCTCGATGGGAACACGGCGATCGTGGCCCGGCGAAATTGCAGCACCTTGCGGACAACTTAACCTGCTTCACTCCCCGCATGAGCGCTTTTAATTGCGGACACAGCCACATTGTTCGCAGCCGCGTGATCCACTTGTCACGCCGGCGGCCCGATCGGCGAGGCGATTTATCTTGGGGCGCCGCCGCTACGGCAAGTGAGCTCGCGGCCGAGGGCAGCGGGTCGCCACAGGCGAGCGTAACTCCGGAAAGGCAGCGCACAGATATTCGTCATCTTGTCTTTGTAACACGTTTATTGATTGTGTTGAAACTAGTCGGCGATACGCAAATGGATACGCGAAAGAACCCTTTTCTGACGCTGGGTTCGTTGTCTGGTAAAGCATTGGAGTCTCCAAGCCCGTTGCGTAAGGGAACGTCCCGAAATTCTGACCGACGGTTGCGGATCGAGGTTAATGGCGGCCGCTCTGTCAACCCAAGCCACACATGGATGTGGAGGCTATAAAATGGCGACGCAACTGGCACGAGGAATTTTCCAGTGAGCGCCTTTGAGAGTTTCTCGCCGATTGTAGTAGGTTTGGATATAAACTGCAAGAGTTTATTGGCATTTGACAAAAGTCAGTGTGCCTGTATTATGTATTGCCTGAAATGAGTCTCCCAAGTCTGAATGAATCAGTTAGACGGAACATTAGTATTTCATATATGACATATCTTATTGTATAAACCGGGGTACTTTCGTTATCAACTAACGTTAGCCCCCCCTTTTAGTGTACTTAAAAAAAGTGAAACTGAAGTGTTTTCGTAAGTTTCATTATATTGAAAATATTTAAAATGTATTGAGATTATCCTCAAAGATCAGCTCGCTCTAATACACACCTAAGGCAGCTGGCCTGTGCTTCAAATACAGCAAAATTCCTCAGGCCTTTGATAATGGCCAAAACTGGTTCCCAGTAGCAGGTTTGCATGGAAACTCCATATAAGGTATTGGAAGATTTGTCATCCTGTACCTGCAGAAAGAACTTGCATATCTAACACGTCATGAAGGATCGTAAAAGTAAAATAGAAAGAGATAGTAAACATGAAAAGTTGAATAGAGAAAGAGCACGAAATGGTTAACAGTAATTTTCTTAGATATAATCCTGTATGTACAATATGAAAACAAGGGTATAAACATAGCCTTAAATAACGTGTGTTATTTCATTAATAGAAAATATCAAAATACTTAATTTTCTATGCTGATTTATACACAGTGATTCTTTACTCGTATTGTTCTAGAATCAGTAATCGTTCTCAATTTTTCAAATAGTTTTGTCAAATAGTAAACACAGAATACTCTATTGTTATAAAATCAAGTATTAAATGTGACATCTGCCCGAGAAGTTTTCAGCGTTATCACAGAATCATCAAGTCTTCAAATGTTTCTGTCTTGTGGATGATTTGCGGTTTCCTTTTAGTATGTGCTTTAAGTTTAGTGGCTCAATAATCACGAATGCCACGTAGATTTTGGTCATGTGCCAAGTTTGTATATTAGTGGTTTATGTGACTCCTCCATACCCTAAGAAAATGTCAATGAAAACGTGTCCGCTGTAATCCATTTTTTACACATAAATGATATAGTTAGGATATTTGCGCTCCGAAAAAGGGCTTTTTATGGATTCAACTTGGAGAATGAAAGAATTTATGAACCTTTTCGTATGAATATGTTAATAAGATAACGTCGTTGCCAAGTTATCCAGAAATAATGTCAATATTAAGTCAAATTTCCCGGTGCATTACCATAAAACGACACGTGGATTAATGAACGCTAATCATCTGCCACCCTGTTTGCAGGTGTTTTCACTCGTCCTATAATTACTGTTGCTAGACAAGTATTTGTTCACATCAATTGCCACACTTTTACATATTCAAACTAGTAGAAATAGAGTAATCTGTCAGTTGAAGATTCCTGTGTCTTATTCGATCAGATTGATCTTTAATAAAACCTTCCGTCTCTTTTTGTTTGGCCGCCCTGTCATTAACACCTTTTCACGTCCGCGAGTCGTGCTGTGGGGATTACAGGGCCGCTCCTAAACTTCGTTCGAAAGAACAGCTGGTGGTTCGGTCGTCCTGGCCGCCGCTTCAAACGAAACGGTCACGAACAAAAAAATCTAAATTAATTTGCCTCTGGTGGCGACGTCGCCTGAATGCACGGAACGCCGCCGCACCCGCGCAACTGGTTCAAGTGGCGGCGCGAGGGCGCCCATCCAGCGAGAGTAAAAGCCGCGAGTAATGGGCTCCGCGGGGCGGG